CCCTCTCCCACTCCCCCTGCTTGTGTTCCTTCTCTCGCTGTGTCTCTCTCAAATAAATAAATAAAATCTTTAAAAAAAAAAAAACATAAAAACCGGGCACCTGGGTGGCTCAGTTGGTTAAGCGTCTGCCTTCGGCTCAGGTCATGATCCCGGGGTCCTGGGATCGAGCCCCGTGTGGGGCTCCCTGTTCGGTGGGGAGCCTGCTTCTCCCTCTCCCTCTGCTGCTGCAGCTCCGCCTGCTGTGCTCGCTCGCTCTCTCTGTCACACAAATAAAACCTTTAAAAAGAAAAATAAGTAAATAAGAAGTTAGAAACCATCTTTTGCTAATATAAAACCAGGTGGCGAGCTCGCCAGCCCGATACCGGTTTCGTTTGTTCGTGTTATTCACTGGGCCAGTGTTTATTGAGCACCTGCTGTGTCCCGGGCCCTGTTACCTCGAGGGACACCAGAAACGAGAGAGATGAGTAAATTCCGTGGCAAGCAGTGCTGTTGAGGGGCCCCGTCTCTGACCAGTGAGCTGCTTTGCAGATGGGGGCGGGGCAGGGCTCTGTTTCCATCTTACTCTTTTTAGGCATTTCTCCTACTCCCTCTGCTGAGCCGCCCCTGTCCCCAGGCTGCCCCAGGTAACTCTCAGTGTGCCAGTCACTGTTTTTGTTGGAGCGCTCCCTACCCAGAACGTTGTCCTCCAGACCTCACCTTTCCCGAGAGTTCTGCTATTTTGAGTATCAGGTATCGCAGAACACCTTGTCAGGTGAGGGCGGAAGCACGGAAGTGCTAAGGAAGAAGTAAAGCAGGGAGTAGGATGAGGGTGTCAAAGGTGTTAACCTTTTTAATCAGTGGACAGAGATCTGAACGAAGGCAGGCAGTCATCTGGAGAAAGGTGCTTCAGGCAGAGGATGCGGCCTGGGCAGACCCTGTCTGCTCCTTGGGGGAGTGGCAAGGAGGCCCCTGTGGCTGGAGCAGAGGGAGTGACGGGGAGAGAGGGAGGAGGGAAGGGCAAGGGGCAGGGCCTGCAGGGCCTGGGGGGGCCTCAGGGAGGACTTGGGCTTTTACCCTGAGGGAGGTGGGAGCCCTGGACGGCTGCGGGCAAGGAGGGGGACCTGACCTGGATTCAGTTCCATTAGGATGTTCTTGATCGTGGGCAGCAGTGTGCTCTACCCACTTGCGAAGCGGAGGAGGGATTGAGTGCAGCGTGTTTGCTGGCCGTGGGTCTTTTCCTGCTCCGTGCCCGTATAGGCCCATGGGGGCTCGTGGGGACCCACAGGGAGACGGTCAGGCTCCCCCACCAAGCCCTGCCTAGCTCCGCTGACCTTCCTCTCTCACACTGCAGCGTAAAACCTCCTCTGGGGCTCACCTCGACGAGCTCTACTCACCCGGGTGTTCTTGGGGCTCCATGTTGACCGACGTCTCTGAGTTGTCATGACATGCTTGTCAGTGTCTCCCCACCTAGACCACAAGCATGGGGGGCATGGGCCCGGGGCTGGGGGTGGGGGGTCCCAGCCCAGTTTCACGCTCCAGCTCCAATCCACGGGTCACAGATACAAGCAGAGCCGTGGTGGGGGGTAGGGGGGAGCACAAAGGAGATGGTGTTGCTGGTCGTACCCCCCCCGCCCCCCGCAGTATCCGCGACATTTCTTAACCAACCGTGAGCTGTTTGTGTGGTCCTTCTCAGGCGAGGCCCTGGGGGCCATCGGGAACCCAGACGTTCTGGAGGTCCTGAAGCAGTACTCCACCGACCCCGTCATCGAGGTACCATGGCCTGATCCCTTCCTCCCCGCCCCCACCTGGACCAGCCTCCCCCGTGTCTGGTTGCCAGGGCGACCGCTTGGCCAGGATCCTGGGAGAGCGGGCAGCAGCCAGGGTGGTCCCAGGCCACGGCCCCATTCGGTAAAACCAAACTGATTCCCACACTAAACCCTGCCCGGCCGACCCGCCTTGCCTCTCCCCTCCTGCCCTGTCCAGTCCTTGCGCCAGGATCCCACTGAGCCCACCCACTTGTGTCCACCTCCGCCGCCCCAGCCCGCCTGGCCTCTCCCAGGTCTCCCCACTGCC